ACGGCCACACTGCCACTTCCTCCCACATGCCATCGGCCAAAGCCAGTCCTACGGCCAAGCAGAGCCAAGACGCAGGGAAGATACACTCCTCCCAGGGTGAGGCCGGGAGAGGGTATGGATGCAGGGAGCTGGGAAGAATCGGGCCCAAAAGTTCAATCTCTGCCCACCCCAAAGGCCAACACCCTCAGGCAATTAGGACATTAATAAAAGGAGTCAGGAGGGGATGGGTGATGGTGGTCATTGTCACAGTCCAGCAGAGATCTTTCTCTGGCCAAGGGTTATTTAATGTTCTTAACAATGAATTTGCAATGTTGCTCCAGCCTGGAGCGTGGGCTCCGTTTGGGCTGAAGGCTTCAGGGGATGTCAGGAAGAAGAGAGAAGAGCCCTGGTTACCTTCGGAAGCTCCGTTCTTTGAGGGCTAAGACTTGTGTTCAGAGACGAGATGGAAGTGAGCTGGTGCCCAGTTGTGTGACGTGGACTGTGGGGTTCAGAGCAAGGAGAGGCCAGCGCAGGCTACAGAAGGGCTTGATGGGAGGGAGGAGTGACACTAACCTCCAGTGGCTGTGCGCCAGACGCTGAGCCACATTCTCTCCCTGCCTTGCTTCCTCTTGTGACCGTCCTATGGGGCACCAGGAGTAGCCTGGTGAGGAAAGGGAGGCAGATGAGGAAAGGGAGGCGCAAAGAGTCAAGTAACTTGCCCATGGTCACCCAGCTGGTAAACACTGGCACCAGCATCTGACAACCAGAGCCTGGGCATTCATCACTGGGTCTGTGACTGGACACCCGAGGGGAAGGGAACAGCAAAGGTGCAGACAGATGTGCGGGGAGGACAGCTGCCAGGCTGCCAGAGCTGCAGAGGGGACTTCAGCCATGTTACGAACTATAAATGGGAGCAAAGATAGGATGTGCGATTTGGCCAAGGTCCTGCAGCAAAATAGGGTGGAGGCTGGGCTAGAAATCCGAGCTTCTGGCTCCTGTTTCCCTCTCCTTCCACTTTCCTTGGTACCAGCCACATTCTGGGCTCTCTCCACCCATCTGCGTGGCCACGCCTGAATCTCTTCCCTCTTGGAAGAGGTGCAATCCACTGGCATTGAAGCTGGGTGGACTGGCTCCCTCTATCCATCTCTTTCTTCCTTTCCCCTGCCATGTTCTGGAAAGGGCAGCGGGAGGGAATGTGGGCAGGTTGCACCAGAGATATACATCTGAGAGCTGAAGGGAACATTTATTTTTAATTTAGACTTAAAAAGAAAAAAGGAAGTTATAAAATATCTGCTCTTGCTCCTGGGATTGTGCAGATGGTGCTGCGTTTTGCCTAATAGGGAATGGGGCTGGCATCCGCGAGCTGCTGGTCCCCGCCTGACTGTAAGGACCCGGAGGGCAGGATACCTGTTCCCCCAGCTCAGCCGTGCATGACTCCTGAGGGCCCCTTTTGGCCAGTGCAGCTCAGTGTTCCCTGTCGTCTAACCTCAGCCTCCCCACACTCCCTCTGCCAGTCTCTCAGCTGTCCTGGCTGTGTCTGCTCCCGTGTACACACACGCACACACACGCACACACACACGCACACGCACACGCACACGCACACACACACACACACACACACACACCCCTCAGATCAATCCTACCCCCTCCTCCGGCAGATAGCCAGGGTACACTGACCTTTCCCTTCCTGAACTCGTTTGGATGATAGAATTTATCAACCTTACACACACCCAAGTACCTCATTAAACTATCTTATCATTTTCATGTCCGGGTGTTGTAAGTGATGTCCTCATACATTTTCTTGTTTGGTCTTTGTGTTTATTGTGGTTAAGGAATAATCTCTGGTGTTCTCCACTGGGAGTGGGATGGAACTTGGTACACAGGAGGTGCTCCATAAATAGCATGGAGTGTTGACCGAATTCTTCCTTTTTGCTCAGGGGGATGAGCTGGAGAAGGAGCACCCTAGAACTGCGGTCCCCAACTCCTGGGCCACGGACCAGTGCCAGTCCGTGGTGTTTTAGGAGCTGGGCTGCATAGCAGGGGCTGAGCCATGGGTGAGTGAGTGAAGCTTCGCCTGTGTTTATAGCCGCTCCCCATCACTCGCATCACCGCATAAGCTCCGCCTCCTGTCAGATCAGCAGCGGCATTAGATTCTCATAGGAGCACAAACCCTACTGTAAACTGCTCATGGAGGGATCTAGGTTTCTCCTTATGAGAATCTAATGCCTGATGATCTGAGGTGGAGCTGGGGCAGTGATGCTAGCACTGGGGAGTGGCTGCAAATACAAATTACCATTAGCAGAGAGGTTTGACTGCACAATAAGTATAATGCGCTTGAATCATCCCAAAACCATGACCCCCACTCCAGTCCGTGGAAAAATTGTCTTCCATGAAACCAGTCCCTGGTGCCAAAAAGGTTGGGGACCACTGCCCTAGAATCAGAGAGTTGGGGCCCCGGAGCCAGGAATCAGGAGACTGAATCATTCTCTAGCTTGCTGTGAAGCCATAGGCAGATCACTGAATTTCTCTAAGCCTCAGCTTCCCTATTTGGAAAATATGGAAAGTAATCTCTATTTTGTCTGATCCCCAGAGTTATTGTGAGGATTATGGTAAGTGACATATGGGGAAATGCTTGGCAAAATCAATCAATCAATCTCTTTAAGAAAGCATGAGGAGTCTTGTGCTAAATAGTCAGAGGTGCTGGCGTGGGTACCAGGCCCGTGTTAGGGCAGGAGGTTGGGACAGGAGGTGGGGGTTGTCCAACAAATAAAAGCTCACTGGTCACGGAGCCATGGGCAATGTGTGTGTGTACACAGGCTGAGTACTAGTTTAGTTTAGGGCTCTGGTTTGTTCTGGAAAAGACTTGAAATCACTTTAAAAAATGCATGGTGCCGAAGATAAAACAAGCGAAGATGAAAATGAGACAAAGGGTGGTTAGGGAAGGAGAGAGAAGATGAAGCCAGGAGTGAGGTTCAGGCACAGAATACGTGCAGTGTGGGTCTGTGCACTTGGCAGTGTGGCCGGGGAGAGCTGGCCTGAGCTTCTTGATGGTCAGGGCAAAGAGACACAGTTCAGTGGCCCAGTGTCTGCAAGGCACATGCAAATCATTTGCTCAGAAGTACAATTTCTGACCCTGAGACCAGAAAAGATTCCCCCCGAGAGGATTTATCAAGAGGATCCTGTACTGTACAGAGCAATGGGCTGGACAGCAGGTGTCTGGCACATACGCTGAGTCCCCTGCGGCTGTATCTTACGATGCGCCAGTGGCCCGAGCACAGCTCTGGGTACAGCGGGGATTCAAGGGAAAAGACAGTGTAGTCCACAGGACGCCATGTTAACTACACATTAGGGGGGTGATAAACTGAGCTCCAAACAGTGAACGGCTTTAATTTCCTCAGGCTGTGGGAAGCAGTCAGACAGGCACACGTGTATACATACATGTGCATGCCCCCTCCCCATGCCTGCCCCCTCTAGGCTCAGCTTCCTCTCTGTTGTCTGGCTCCTGACTGGGGACCCCAACTAGGAGGAGGTCTTGCATCCCCCGGGATGCTCCTTAGCATGTGGGACCCCATCACAGACACTGGGGCTATCTCTGTTGAATCCACACCTGCTACCTACAACCTGAGAATAGAATTTTAAACTGAGATAGAGCCTCTTAGGTCAACTCTCCCCTTTATAGGTAAGAAAGGTAGAGCCCCAGCAGGGGTCATCTTCTACCAGAGATCACGCAGGGACGGAGCAGAGGCTGAGGCTTGGGGTCTCCTGGTTCTCACTCCAGTTCCCTAAGCTGCCACTGAGAAGAAAAATCAAATTGGGATCTCGTTCTGGAAGAAAAATCTCGTAAGATAATTCCTCGTTGGAGCTATGGAATAGCGTTAGATTATATAATTTTATTCAAACTGAGATGGGCCAATAAATATAAATGTGTGTGCGTGTTCGCTGTTTTAAAACATTTTAATGTTTAAAACATGATTTACTAATGCTGCGAGGATGTCTAGAATTTGATTTACTGCATAGTATTGAATGTTTATACTTGTTCCTTACAGAAATTCTTGCCAAAGAGCCATTTTATCTACAAGAATAATAAATAAGTCAATATGCGGATGGTTGTGCACATTTTTCCCATATGCAATGGTACTTGGTAGATGTATTTTGCACACAAACACTGCAAAGGTAAATGGAGACACACACGGATCCCTGATGTCCAGGTCTTGGCCAGTGTCAAGATCAGACAGTGAATCTTGACCTAAACCAAAAAAACAATGAGTCTAAGTCTTAGGTGATATTTGGGCTTTGTGAATAAGGGATCCACACCTATGCAACCGTACTTAGCCATATGTGTGTATTTATTCATTCCTTCATTCCTTCGCTCATTCAGAAAATATTTATCAGACATCGATGTTTCATTCGGTAGCTTAAATGTAGGATAGGTTTTTGCTTCATGGAAATTCAAAGATAACAGATACAAATTCCCCCAACTTTGTATTTACAAAGCACTAGAAGGCCTTTTTATGGAATCCTCACAAGAATCCTATGGATGGCTAGGGCCAGAAGCGGTCAGGTTACCTGAGTGGAAGTGAAGGTATTCCTTTTGTTTGCTTGTTTATTTTTGTCACCCCCCATTACGGAAATAATGCATGCCCATTGTTAGAAAGAATACAGAAACATTTAAAAAGAATGTGAGAAAGCAGCCTGTACCCCTACCTCAGCCACAGTTACTGGCACATGCTGTGCTACAGAGTTTTCATGCTTAGAGACATGTGCACATACGTGTGTGTGTATATGGTTATAGATAAGATTATATTTTTCTTTACATAAATGGGATTATACTGCAATATAATTCTGTAACTTGATTTTTCTCTGTCACATACCCTGTCCCCGTGGGCCTCCGTTTGTATGAGCACGTCGTGCCAGTTTGGGCAGATCCAGCTTGCTCTTGTTTGTGGCAGTGTCATTTTTCTCTGTGAGAGTGTAGGATGTTTCTTTTGCCTTTTTCAGCCTTTCTTCTCTCTTGCCTATAGGTAGTCGGTCTTCTCTTGCCCAACCAGACACTGGCGTCCACCATCTTCTGGCAGGTAACAGTCTCCCGGGACACACAGGTGCTGGTTAAGAATCCCCTGCCCTGATGCCCTGCCCCGTCCAGGCCCTCAGGGTAGAGTCAGTCCCCCAACCCCTCCCCCAGCCGGGAAGCCGCTGGAGGAAAACCAGCACAGTGAACCCACTGAGCAGGTCCCTAGCAGCCAGCATGTCTCAGGCCATTATGTGTCACTCTAACCTTTGGACAGAGGTGATGGAGGCTGGGTGCCCTCACCTGGATCATGATGGCTTATTGGTGGCCACTTGTCTTATGCTTGGTGACCTCGAGGCCCACAGCCTCATTTTGATGTCAGCCCCGCCCAAATCTGTAGGGGAAGGTAAACCCACCTCTACCCCCGAGGTAGTGAAGTGCATCACAGACCCTGCTCTCTGCTCTTGGAGACAGTCCAGGCCATGGTTCCATGAAAATAGTTGAGGACGTCCCTGTACGTGTCTGTGCAGGGAAAGAAGGGCAGGAAATGTGAGAAAATGCCAGAGTGTCTTCCCTGAACACAACTCCTGACAGCACATGTGTCTGGCGCTAGAGGTGGTGCAGGGTGCTGGGCTGGGAGATTGTTGAAAGAAGTGCAGGGCTGTCAGTCATTCCAGCGGCCTTGCTGGCCACCTTCTGTCCAGAGAGTGATATACTAGGGATGACGTGCAAAGGCAGCGGACCTGCTGCGGCAGTGAATGCCATAATTCCAGGAGGGGTGATGGCTTCTGGATCAGGGTGGACTGTTGGGTGGGCGGCACCACATCCCCATTTGTCAGGAACTGAGAGGTTTCCCGAGACTTTTGGTGCCAACACCAGCACAGTCCTGGGCAAACCAGGACAGTTGGTCATGCTTACTAGTGGGAGAACCATCTGTGAGCTGCAGACAGAGTGCCATGTCTTTCTGGGGGTGTGCAGTGCTCCCCGGGGCCCAAGGCCTGGCTTCTGGGGAGGTGACCATTCCTGCCCTGACTTCTCTCTCTGTTGACTTTCAGTGGCTGAACCAGAGCCACAATGCCTGTGTCAACTATGCAAACCGCAATGCTACCAAGGTGAGCATCAGGCCTTCTGCCCAGTGGTGGGGTTCAGGGTGGGGTGACCTAGTTGTCCTCCCTACAGTGTGACATGCCACCACTGGTGGCTGCCTCTTCTCAGTTAAGCATTGCCCTCCTCTAGGTGCCTTATTTAAGCTGCCAGCCCTTCAGGCGGGGCGGCAGACTCGGACCTCACCTGGCTGAGCTCAGCAGGAGCATCCAGGCTGGCTTGGCCCGGGAGGGGCTGTTTACGTGAAGTAGAGCAGATCCGTTAAGTGGGGGTGCAGGGGGCAGTGTAGGATGGATTCCGCTGGCTTCAGAATTCTTCTTGAGCAGCTCTCACACCCGGATCGTGGATGAGGACAGTGTCAGCCTCTCAGGGGCCAGTTCCCCCAAAGCTTCCTCCAAACTTGCTGAAAGCTGCCTTAGTGCCCCCAGCTCCCGACTGCTGGCCACAAAGCTGCAGGGCTCCTGAGGGCTGAGGGTCCGAGAGGACTGGCTCTCCTAAGTTCCCTGCATGCCTAGGACAGCTCATGGTGGAGGCCCAGTCACTTGCTGTTGTCCAGGAAGGGCTGCTGGGCCCCTGCTTCACTGGCAAGGCCACCTGTCCCTCTGTTCAATTCTCCCTTACTTCAGTCCAAAGGCAAAGGGAGGGGAGGAAGCATCTTGGTCCCCTTTAGGGGGCTGTCAGTTAGAGGAAGGGGAGGGTCTTGGCATTTTCTAACCTCAGGGGAGGGAGGGGGACTCAGGAGCTGGCCTGGGCCGTAGGAACTTGAGGAGCACAATGCTCTGAGGATCCCCCCACCTAAACCTCCACCAAAGTCTCCCATGGGCTTCACACGCGTGCAGCTCTGCGTGGATGGGTCCTGTTTACCTTACCCAGACATCTCCAACCTGCAGTTGCAGTGGACAGGTTCCTCAGCTTTTCTGCATTTTCTGTGTTGGAAGTTGGGCTGTATTTGTCGATAGAACTATCATCTTTGACATAGAAACCTAGTTGCTGCGAGGGCTGCCAGGCCTGTGAGAGCCAGCCTCGCCACAGGCACGCGCACCTGGAAGTGCTGCATGCGCCACACGGCCTGCTTGCGATATGTAGCCTTACGAAACCGGAGACTGCTGGCCCTTGCCATTCTGCACCTCCAGCCCGCACTGTCTGCCAGTGACCTTTCTAGAGCAGGGCAGAAGTGGAACGTGTTCCCACATTTGGCCTCTTCCTTCTCACCCAACCTTCCAGGCTGGTGGGCAGGGAGGCTTCTTGCTGGCTGGGGCAGTTTGCAAGGGTGGAGTGTGGGAGCCTTGGGCACCGAGCAGGCCTGAAATTCTGCCTCTGTCTTCCAGCCTTCACCGGCATCCAAGTTCATCCAGGGCTACCTGGGCGCTGTCATCAGTGCTGTCTCCATTGCTGTGAGTACTTCCTCCCCGCCTCCTTCCTCTTGGTCCTGCTGTGTCGCCGCCCCATTCGGCATTGCAGGGGGACCTTGTCTGAGGGCCAGGGCTGGCAGCGGTGCGGTCGGCAGTCTTCTGTAGGTGGGCTGCCAGGGCAGGCTTTCTAGGCAGAGAGGAGACTTTTACAGAGAGCACACACTGGCACTCCATGCTTTGGGGGATAGGCAGGGCAGTGGGGCAGTGCCCGTGGGGGCTGTGGGCAGCACGTCTGTCCTGAGAGGGGCCGTGGTTACCTAGCACTCTTCTCAGAGGAGCTGGTCTTCATGCTCAGGGATGCAGCTGAGGGGAAGGGCATGGGAACGACCCCGGAAGGTTGGCCCGTGCGCCAGCTGCCCTTCGCTGAGCTCCCGGGTTATTCCCTCTCTGGGACCTTGATCACACAATCGTGTGTCCAGTCCTTCTCGAAGACCTATAAGCTCCTCAAGACAGGGCCATTAGGCTCCTTTTGAATCTGCACAGGACTTTGAGACAAGAGCAGCTACTCAGTAGGGGAGGTTTGTAAACTGACTATGTGAGTGTAGGATGGATGGTGGGTCCCTGTTTCCCAGATGAGAGCAGAGGGTAGGTGACATAGTGAGTGCCTGGGCCAGAGCCGGAGTGGATGCTCAAGCTGCCAGGACCTTGTCCCACACTTGAGCCCACCTCATGCCCCCATCTGGCACTCTCTAGATTCCCACTGGGAAGACCTCCTACAGCCGACTCCAGAGGGCAAAGGGTCCCTTCACAGCTTCGTCATTTCATTCATTACACAATAAATACATACAATTGGTAAGAAAAAATAATGTGAAAATGCAAATCAAAAAACATTCACATAGCTAGGCATGGTAGCCTGTGTCTATAGTCCCAGCTACTTGGGAGGCTGAGGGAGGAGGATCACTGGAACCCAGGAGTTCAAGGCTGTAGTGAGCTATGACTGTGCCTGTGAATAGTTACTACACTCCAGCCTGGGCAAGATAGCAAGACCCTGTCTACAGAAAAGAAAAAAAGAATTTACATATAATAATCTTTTGGTAAAACCTACTTTCTGCATCTTTCCCGTGTCATTAATTGAATACTGTATGATAATTGTTCACAACTATGTAATAACCCATGATGCCATACCTCATAGTTTATTTTGCTATTCTTCTAAATTGGGGATTTGGGGTTGTCCTGAAATGGCCTCATTTATTTTACTCCCATGTAGACCAAGTCATCTCCAAATAGCTGTGAAGTGGGACATCCCATCTCATGCCCGAGATCTCTTTCCTTTCCTAAATCCTCATGTCTTGGGACTCACTTCCCCTGCAGGCCTGTGGCTCCAGGAATAGAAATTAAGCTTCTTCCAAGAGCTCGGGGCTCTATGTCCCCTGTCCTCACTGTCCCACCCAAGGGGCCATCAGCCATCCCATCCCAACCACTTCCCCAGGCAAGTGTAGCCCAGACTTGTGGGGTAGGGGTTCTGACGACAGGCCCAGCAGAATTACTGGGGGACTTGGGGCCCTCCGAGGCTCCCAGAGCTGGAGTCTTGCCCAGCAGGGATGAGGCCTCGTGCTGGAACGTGCCTATGCTGGGAACGCCCTCCTCCTTCCTCCCTACCTCGCTCCAGCACCCCCCTGAGGAGCCCTTCCCTGACCACTCCAGCCCATACTGCTCCCCCTCCCCTCAGGTCCTGGAAACTTCCGTCCTCCCCACTCGCACTCGCGCGGTGTCCCGTCCTGTCGACGTTCCGCGGTCCGAGCCCTGTCCCAACTGGATTACCAGTTAGCCAGGGACAGGCACTGTGTCTTCTCCCCCACAGAGGGAAGCACGGAGCGCTGCTCCCTAAATACTTATTAATTAGGTTGCTGATTGATTGCTGGCCTCAGGAGGCCCCTCTCCTCTCCCATCCACGAGAAGTAGTGGCAGCGGCGTCCCTCCGCCTGACGTCTTCACACAGCGAGGGTCTAACTCCGGCAGATGGAGCGGAGTTTCTGACTTGGAAAATCTGCAGCTTGCTTGCTTTTCTTTTGTGTGTGTAAATCACAAAACCTCCGGAGAAAGGGCCTTTATTTTATTTCCCTTTCCCTTGTTCTCTGGAACCCCAGGTCCCGCAGCCTCATTAACTGATCTCTGCTTCAATTAGTGACAAATCCCCTCCCAGGGTGAGCCTGTTAGGAGGACATGACCTGCAAACAAGTGTCACGGCCCCAGTGGTTGGCCCAGCTCTGGCATTAATTAAAATGAGTCCCTACAAGCAGGTGGCATGGATGGGGGCTGACAGGCCAAGAGCAGGTCCCAGGACTGAGGGTGAGCGGAGTGGAGGCCAACCTCCTCTGCAGACCCTGGAGAGCCCTCTCCCCTTCTCAAGCAAGCCCTGACCTTGGCCAGCAACCTCCAGAACCAGGGACCCCCTTTTGCATGCCCCCAAATGCAGTCTTATGCTGGTTGCCGGACCACAGGGGTGGGATTAGCAGCCTCTTGGTGAACCTTCTAAATAGATTTGGCAATGTCTGGCTTCTTGCTTGAGAATAAAAAAGAAATTCCGTCTTAAGTTATTTTTGAAATCTAACAGTTTGCTGTCTTTTAACAAAGGAAGCCTCTCTCAATCCTCACTGTTCTTTCATTTCGAGTTTGTGCGGAGCGCTTCTATGGGCAGCCCTCACGGGCCCTGGCTGCACCAGGGTGACAGGAGGCAAGACCCGTTGCTCCCATCAGGGGTCTGTGATGTGCCAGGCACTTTACAGGAACTGGGAGCCACAGAGACTGGCGTGTCCTCCAAGATGCTGAGAAGGGAAGCTGAGAACGCTCTGTGGTATAGTCAGAATTATGACAAAAGTGACTCTAGGTTGTCATGGGACCAGGGGAAGGGCCCCTAGTTCACACAGGGCTGACTCACAGGACAGACCAGAGAGAGCCAGGGGAAGGCAGGGCAGAGTGTTTCAGAGAGAGGGCCCAGCGCACGCAGAGGCACGCAGAAGGACAGCATGACAGATTTGGGACGCTTGGAAAACGAGTGCGGTGCCAGGTGGGGAGTGCTGGGGGCGGGGCGATGATGAGTGAGGAGTGGAGGGCTGGCCGTGAAGTGACACGAGTGCCTTGCTCAGGAGGCAGGAGGCAGGAGGCCGAGCCCTGAATCTGACGTGTGCTCAGGGACCTGGGCATTGCAGGGGGTGTGGGCAGAAGTGGGCTGGAGGAGGAGTGGGGGCGCTTGGCAGGCCCAGCACACGTACCACCCTCACGGAGACAGGATCCTGGCTGAGGGGGAACCTGGGCTGGAGAGGAAGGCTCGGGGCTGAAGTCCTGCATGACTGGGCGGGAGCTGGTTGGTGCAGCCAGGTGATGAGAGACGTTTCGTGCCCGTGCCTCAAACCCTTGCCCTTCAGCTGGGTCTTGGCTGGCTGAGGCCTTTCCCTGTTGGGACAATGCCGACCTCCTTTCCCAAAGGCTCTGGGCCCTAAGGGGTCCTTTCTGTGTGAGATGCAGTGGTCGTCTCTTAACCTTCACTACCAGACACTGGAGTACAAGGAGCGGTCCCAGGGGATCCCTGGGCTGAACCCTCCCATTGGTTCCCCTTGCCGCTGGCAACTGCACGTTCCCCTGATAGTCAAACTGGCAAATAATCATAATAATAGTCACGACAGCTAACACTAGCAGAGCACCCGCAGTGCTCCAGGCACTGCTTAGGCACTCACCCCCATTCATAGATGCCACTGAGGTGGAGTAAATGACACCTTACCCAGCTTAATCACACAATTCTGCTCCCCCTGTGGCATAAGGAGGCGTAAGTCATGTTCCCCGTTTTCCAGGTTGCAGGAACTATTACCACACCCCCCGGTGTCAAGGCCCTCCCTAGGGACCGCTAGAGCAGTGGGCACTGGGAGAAATTTTTTGAGAGCTTATTTAGGTGTAACAAGGTTAGACCCTTTGCTCACCTTCGTACTTGGGCCCTAGGCCTGTGTTTTCTGGTCAAAGCAGCATAGATTTGTCCCTGGTCCAGAGCATGCCTTATGTCCTGCAGGACAGGGCGTGGCTGGCTCTATGGTGGAGGGTGTACTTCTTGGGGCCGGTTCTTCTTGGGGCCTGATGGAGGTAGGGTGATGGTACCTGTGACTCCTGGACCAGATCATTGTCTTCCTACTTTCAGTGAGTGGCTTCGGGGTTGGAGGGCCCATTGCACGGACCCTGTAGCAGCATCTGAAGTGTTCGGAAGCCTGCAGATGGTGATGCTGGCAGTGGCGAGTCAGACACGAAAAGCAGCCCAGCATCTATTCTGGGGAGGACAAGTTGTTGTCCCCTCCTACGTGGAAGGAGTCTGGTGTAATTGGTTTCCCAGCAGCCGACCTCCTGGTCCCCGTGGGGCATGGTTCAGGGGCATGGTTGGTCACTGTTGCCAGCAAATAAGCCACTCAGCTGCAGCTGGAGCTAACTGGCACTTTAGCCATTGACTAATTCTGTTGCAGCCTCTTGGCCACTGTGACAGAGTTACAGGCTGCCCCCATTGTCAAGCAACAGGCTGACTGAGGTTAGAGGACAATTGACCTCTGTGGAGGGTCATGGGTCCATTTGGTTACCAAGTTTGTTCTACAAAGCACGCCCTCTGGTGGGCATTTTTGGTACTTCAAAGATTCCTTCACCTTCCCCAGCCCACCCCCAGCCCACCCCCAGCACCCCTATCCTGCAGCCATGCAAACCCCTGACCATTGGTTACATTATTATCCACCACCCAAGAGTCCATCTAACTTTTGATCACATGCCATCCCTCCTTTTAGGTCCCCTTCTCCATTGTTCTCCAGGCCCCTTGGATCCCCACGGGGCAGGTGCCAGTAGAGTCTGCAGAGCCAGCTGCAAACTGTCCTCTGAGTGCCCTGCAGACAACCTGCTATTTCATGCCTCGGAACCTCCGCCAGGCCCTTCCCACTTCCTACCTGGCTGCCTCGTGCTCACCTTTCAGGGCTCAGTCAGGCATCCCCTTCTTCAGAAGCCCTCATGCCCTTGGGGCC